AGAAAGAAAGAAAGAAAGAAAGAAAGAAAGAAAGAAAGAAAGAAAGAAAGAAAGAAAGAAAGAAAGAAAGAAAGAGGCTAGGGAGATGGCTCAGTGGAATAAGTGCTTCCTGCACAAGCACAAGGGCCTGAGTTCAATCCCTGGTACTGCAAAGGAAAGAAAAGAAAGATGTAATGAGTCCATTAGGTGTCAGGAGTGGAATTTTATGGACTCACTACATACTTCTTTGTTGAAATCAGGACCTTGTGCTTTCCAGGCAGGTACTTATGCCACCGAATGTGCTATATTCCCAGCCCATTACCACATTCTTTTGTATAAAATACATTTAGTCCATCTCTAAGAGTTGTCCTAACAGTTTTAACATTGATAAAAATTGAAGTTTGAAGTCTCCTCTGAGATTTAAGGCAAATTCTTAGCTGAGAGGCCTTTTAAAGTAAATGGAAGGTTAAACACGTCCAGCATACAATAAAGGGCACAGGGTAACCATTTCCATTCTAAAAGGGAGAAAAAAATGATAAAAGGGATAGGACCAGAGAAATATTGAAATCTAGCAGAGTGAACATTAAGTCTTGTAGTTCCATGCCTAGCACCCATGGCAATGTGAGGCAAGATCCAGCATACAACTGCAGAAGGCTAAGATGGCCCCACTCCTACACCACTGCTATTAGTTATTGCCTTCATGCCTTCACTTTTGGGCTAACTTTGCTCTAATGGTTTTACCCAGACATTTTCCAAGTCCCTGGCCTATTAAATATCATTAGACCTTCACTGCACTGGTTTTATCTTCACAGATTCATGCATTGCCCTACCACATTGCCTGGCCTCCCTGGCCTTCTGATATCTGGGTGTATGCCCCTTCTCTCTGACCCCAAACTCAAGCATACTGCATACACCTAAAACCAGCACATGTGAATGACACCAAGATTTTCTTCCAATTGGAGCAATAGATGAACCCTTTTGCTTCTTGATGGTGGGTTTCAGAGACTTCTTAGTAGAATTTTGGATGGCTGAGAGGAGTAAACTGAATCTTGATAACTCAGTCCCCATTCTGTAGGTTGAAACTATTATGGAGCATGGCAATTTAGGGCTGTCTTCTCAAAGCAAAATTTTTCACTTTTGCAATTTTGAATTTTTGAAAGGGACATCCTGCTTGTTCCTGTGATATCTTCAGGACATCTTTTCTATTGACCTCTTCCAAAGTAATCAACTTCTTATTAACACAAATATTTTCAGAAATTAATTTTTCATCTGTTCCATCTTTATAAGTCACAACATTACTTCAGTTTCATTTCTAGCCAAACTTAAATCATTCAGTTGGACAATTTCTACCTGATGCTTAAGGTAGAGTTGGCTATAAGCCTCCAACAGTAGCTATGCCCCATCACCTCAACAACAGACTGTCTTTAAATTCCTTCCTAAGTTTACTTATTCTGACACCCTTGACCTCATCCTTATGTCCAGGGTCTCTGGACATATGCAAAATACAGACAAATTTCTTGCCAGAGAACAACACATGTAGTCTAGAGTTCAACTGCCAGTGGAGCTCTTTCCTGTTGAAATTTCTTTAGCCTGGTCTTTTCTCCATGCATTTAAGTCAACATCCTGGTCT